AAGGTGAATAGGGTTTATCTTAGGCTCTACATGGCCTGTAGAATTGTTGAGTGATGAGGAAACTACTTTCAGGAGCAGCTTTTAAAGTCACTTCTAGGAAGGGAGATGCTGTGGTACCATCTGTCACCTCAGTAGCTTTGCAACCAGGAAATCGATCCATGTAGAATCACAGCAATGCTGTTGCTAACAGGAAACCACTACAGCCAGGAAGCTGCTACTGTTGGGATTCTAAAACCGATGTACTTCTGCAACAGATTGCGTTAGCAGAATGAATGCTCTTCCTTCTCCATCTAGATTCATCATGACTTAGTGAACTAGTTGCAGAACACACAAACTTTGGCAACTGCAGCTGCAGGAAAACAAAGTGCTTTTCCCAGCTGTGCCTGCTGTGAAGAATGTACAGATGATTCCAGATCTTGTCCATTTCAAACTCCACAGCACCAGAGCCTGAGCTATAAGGGAGAGAGTGAAGTATGTTTTTAACTTTGCAACATCAGTAGTTAGGAAAGCACTAGGACAGTGTTTGGCAAACTACAGTGTGTGACTGATGAGAGCATCATAAAGTCAAGTCAGGTGGTAACAAGATTCTTTTTTTAGTTCTTGTTGACAATTTAAGATATTTTTTTCTCCGGGCCATGGTTAAAAACAACAACAATAAAAAAGCTAGAAATCCACTGAGCTGAGTGTTACCTGCCAGTTTTCATTGCAGGGTCTCGTGAGAGAACTGTGGGGAGAGCCCAGTGGCTACGAACCATCTAGGATTAGAATTTAAGAGAAAGGAAATAGTGTTTACAGTCATTGGTTAAAAAAATCAGATCATGAGAATGGTCACCCAAGGTGATGGTTTGGGCCAGATTTTTGAGGAGTATGGAGATTTGATTTAAAGGGAAGAATCTGTTTTTAGAACTGTGTGCATGGTTTATGCACTCTGGGATTTTTTCCATCCACATTTACTCTCTAGTAAAAGAGGTGGATCCAGACAAGACCCAGAGAACCTTGGAAAGCCATACCTGCAGGATCGGAGACTGGCACCTAGCATGGATCCTGCATTGCACTAAGACCATGACTGTTTCCTAGGATGCACAGAGCGGACAAGTGCTTAGCAAAGATGCAAAGACTCCTTCACATTCCAGAGATGAAGCTCCTGCTCACAAACTGTGAGCATAGAAAGAAGAGTTTAAACCCTCACTCGCCATGGTTGCCACAGAAGCTTTGGGGAGCCATTTATTTTCCAAGAGTACTTTGGCAGTATGGAAAAATAGTGGGCTGGGTGATTGGTTTAGGTGTTAGTGTGAGGCCTTGAGTTCAAACTCTAAACTCCAGAAAAGGAAAAGTGTTAACAGGGAGTGGGAGCTGTTGAACCCCAGATTTGTTTATCACAGCAATCTGTGTAATAATAAAACCATGAAGAATGCAGGTCACAACAGGTTATATAAAGTATATAATTTATTTAAAATATAATGTCACACAAAATTGAACTATATATTCTTAATGAAAAATGCCAACGCATGTAAATAAAGGGCACATACAAACTTCTAGAGTCAGTCAACTCTAGATGGGAAATGGGCAAATGGGACAGTAGGAGTTTAGTTATCTGGATTTTTTTTTCAAGAGAAGCACAAGATGGCAAAATATCAATAGTTATTAAATAAGCTGATAAAGCAAAGAAGTATTTTCTGTTTTGTTCTTAATTAAAAATAAATAGAAGCATACACAAACAATGCCGTTCCCAGAGCAAGAATCAAACTTTCTTCCTTGAACCAGGTTAAGTAGATGACTTGTAAAAAATATTAGTAGGCACACACACACACACACACACACACACAGAGGCACACACAGGCACACAGACAGACATAACTTCAAATTAAAGAAACAATATTCTTTATTGAAAAAAAATACTGGCTTGATCATATAATTTTTTTTCTTTTTCTTTTTCTTTTTTGTTGGTCATAGGGCTTGAACTCATGGTCTGGACACTGTCCCTAAGCTTTTTTGGCTCAAGGCTAGCATTCTACTACTTTGAGCCACAGCTCAGTTCCACTTCCAGTTTTCTGGTATTTAATTGGAGATAAAATGTGTCATAGACTTTCCTGGCCAGGATGGTGTTGAACCATGGTCCTCAGATCTCAGCCTCTTGAGTAGTTAGGATTACAGGTATGAGCCACCAGGACCTGGCCCATATAGTTCTTTAGTTTCTGAGAGTCATAACTTTAAGATTGGGAGACACTAACACTTTTCTGTGTTTCAACCATGTACTACAGAAGATGGAGACCATTGTTGTCTTATATTTCAGTTATGATTCTGAAGTGATTGGGATGTAATGGGGTAGGGAAGAGAAAAATCTCTGGATGTTGAAGACTATTTAATTAGAGCCCTGAGAAATTACAGAAAGGGTCCAAGAGAAGCCCAATAAAATCTGGTGAGAAATATCAGAGATAGGAATCAGGAGATGGGATTGAAATCCTTGTGAGGGCTATGTGTCTGTTCCCAAGGGGCTGACATCCAGTAGGACTTCCATTGGTGTTAGCTGTTTTCTAAGGCTTGTTCTAGGGATGACTCTGATGACTTCCCTTTTGATTTATGGGTTTTGTCCCCATTAAAGAATGATCAGTGATATTCTGGTGTTTCTGGAACTCTCTCTGTTTTTTTGAATTGTGCTCTGATTCCCTCAGTACTTTCTCCCTTGGGTACCTGTTTCTAACAAACCCTTTATGTGCACTGGCCATTATCTGAGCAATCTTGTCTGCAGCTGAAGGATTCTGCAGAGGATAAGATTGTCTAGTAACAGGAAGTATCTCAGTGCTGATAGAAAACAGGTGACAATAGTCACTGATCTATGTACATTGCACTTGCTGTATTCCAGCAACTCACCCATCTCCTTCTGCAAATTCTGCAAGTTTGTGTGTGTGTATGCGTGTGTGTGTGTGTGTGTGTATGTGCATGTGTGTGTTCAGTGTGGGGTATGGGAGGAAGGGAAGGGGACGGGTGTGTTAAGCTCAAGTTACCAAAGAGGCATATGTCTCAAATAGCCTGGGTTCTCTGTGAGATGCCTGACTGATTTCATTTGCACAGATATCATTTGCTTATATGGTTCCCAGGGCCTAGTTAATCTTCAAGAATAATAGAATTTGAACTTCCTGGATTGTTTACTTCCTATTAGTTAACTTATTAATAATTATTGGCTTCTACTTTTGCTTTGTTGTATCATCATCATTAATATTTGGTACTAGAGGGTTTTGAATTTAGGGATTTATACCTGCTAGTCAGGCAGTCTATCACTTGAGCCATACTACCAGCCCTTTTTGATTTTTAGTTATTTTTTGGCTAAGTTCTCCTGCCTTTTACCCAGGTCCAAACTTGGATCCTGATACTTCTACCTCTGCCTGCTATGTAGCTGGGATTATGGCATCAAATCACTATGTTTGGCTTACTCTTTGAAATATAGAAGATTACTAACTTTTTGACTGTTTTGACCTTAAACTCAGAGTCTCTTAATCTCAGGCTCTCAAGTAGCTGGGATTACAGCTGTGAGCTACCACATTTAGCCTGCCATATTATTCTTTAAATGTGCTCCTTGTATCTTTTGTTGTTGATTCTCTGAGCACTGTGTGATAGGAACTGAGATTAGAAACATTAGTTTACACACACGCTTAGGTTACATAGCTTTTCAAGAATGAATGAATTTATGAAGATTCATTTGTCCTACATTTCAATACAACTCAAATGCAGATGTGCGTTTCTTTCCAGCTGTGTTATCAAAAGCTGTTCCTATTTGACCACATACCACTTGGCTTGGGAAATTCAAGGCCTATTCTAATGCATATTCCTCCTGAAGAACCTACTCAATAAAAAAGGTGAAGAGAAATGTAGGTTTTACTGAACATTTCATAGTGGAGACCTAGGAGGAAGTTGACATGGCTCCCGCTCAGGAAATGACCTAATTATGTTTTCCCTTGGTCATTTTTGTTTACCCACAGCCCTGTCATCTGTACTACAACTGTTATTCTTTCTTCTTTAAACCTTTTCTTTAACGGTCTTTTCTCTTCCTTGAAAAAAATGCAAATTTTGCTTTTTTTTTTTTTTGCATGACACCCAAGGAGACTTCTTTTCTTTTAAGGATACCTCAAAGCCCAAGGGCTCACAGCAACTGAAATAGTTTGTCAAAGACCTACTTCAACAAATAAGGAGTCATCCAAAAGGATGGAGAAGGAAAGTCAAATTTGTTGTAGTTAAGAGAAATCTCATGGCCTCTGGAGTCAGGAGAGGAAATAGCTGTTGGTTCGAAGTTTTCACCATTTTCAGGTTCCTGTTTTCTGTCAACAACTTTGTAGGGGCTTAAAGACCCTCACAGAATTGTCTCTCACGAGTTGGAAGTAGGAAATATACATCAATTACCAAGGAGGTGGAAGCAGCTTTGCTGATCAATACAAGCTGGCAGAGGGTTGGCTGAACATGGGAACATTCTACAAGGTGCCTTGAGCCTTGTCCTTATGACCAGCTAAAAGAAAGTGCAGCCGGATGTTGTGGGTACCATAGTTTTTATATTGGTATATGGGTCCTCCCTTTGGTTGTGAACTTCCAGAACACTTATCCAGAATCTCAGCTTACAAATCTGATCTTCAGAGGTGAAAACAATTTTGGAACAAAATTCAAACCCAGTCCTCTTAGTTATTCAGATCTGTATCCTGAGCTCCAAGGAAAGGAAAGAATAGGTCAGCGTCAAATAGTGAATTAGTGGTTGGGTTGGAGCAACCCAGTTCCTTCTGATTCCCTAGTGCCTCTCTGTCAATCATACCACATTGCTTCCCTGTTTGCCTCTGAAAGATACCTTACTTTTTTTTAAACCTTGGAGTTGTATCTTTCCAAGACATACAAGGAGAAAACTATACTATTTAATTCATTTTTTTGTGATTTCAGTCTTTTTTTTCCCCAAGTGTTTGGATGGATGCAGTATTGTATGGTTGAGAGTTGTTTTCTTCTTGAAGGCCAAGTGAAATAGTTCAGTCTGAACTGCTGTACAAGAAGATGGACAGCACATTGTCAAGGGGAAAGGTGATTGTATCCACATATTGGAATTGATCCACTGTGACAGATATGGTTGTGTTGACCTGCAAGTAATCAAGTAAGAACTGAGAGAGATTCTGGTATATGCTTTTGGTGTGTACTCCGGCCTCACATACTGTCACGAGGGCCTGTTTCTTGACTATTTTGTTGACACGGAGCTCTAACTTCAGGTCCACGGAACGATTTGAGCATTGCATGAGGAACTGAACTTGGCACATGATGAAGTACCAGCCTGGGAACTGGATGACCAGATCCCCGTCCTGGTATCTGACTTCATGGATGATACCATCAGGGTTCCAAGAGAGCTTGGAATTGTTGAGGTACTTCGACACTGGAAGGAACAGATAGAGAATTGTTGGTCAAATTGTAGGTACTGATGGAGAAACTGTCTTTACATTCAAAGTTCCCATGAAGGGTCTATGTTTTCTATAGTGTTTTCCTCCTATACTAAACATCTGCTTGTTTTTCATGTTACTGCTAGAGTCAACTTTGTATTCAAGGCATGGGTAGAAAGCCACTCCTCTTTCCTTTACTCTAAGGTTCAAAGCCAGAGGACCAGAGCATACCTGATAGTGGACTTCGACTATATTATTATGTTCTTATTATGGCTCTTTCATGTCTTAGACTGTAAGCTCCTCAACTGTGTTCTGCACAAGTATTGCCAAGTTTCAGAGCTAGGACATTTGATATTACTCACTTAAAAAAATCGAGGTATATCAAATTGTTCAAGAGAATCTTCACTAGCTTTCATATGAAGGTATCACCTTGTATTATATACAGGTATGAAAATATCACAACAAAAGGCATTGTTTTGTAGGATTAATATACACTGATGTTTATTAGAAGTGTATCCTTGAATGTGATCTGAATTTTTGAATGTGTCTTTTCTACAGTAGCCAAACATCCTTGCACAGGTTCCCCATGTACACACTGAATAGCTCTGCCACCTGGGATTTAGAGACAAACAGGAAATTAGCAGAACCTCTGAGCTGACACATTTGTGTCAACGCCAAGTCTCCGAGTCCTAACAAATGAAAATTAGCACTGGCTGATAAGGGTCCCTTCAGAACCGGGAAGTTGGCTTGCTGATTTTAATTGATTCCTTTAAGCCTTGTAATGGAAAGGTAAGAGCTAATCTAATCGCAGAACTGAATGCTTAAAATGAGCAAAATGGCTATTCAGAGAATCTTGGCCATCTCTTCCATATCTCATTGTTTTCTCCTTTAAGTGGCTTTATTGTTCCATTTAGAAAGGACTCATACCTGAAGCACACTGCAGTATGCAAATAGGCCCTGTGCCAACATGTTCATTAAGCTGTCAATGGAGGGACAAAGCAGTTTTGTGGTTCTCTTGTGAATAACTTCTTAGAGGCAGAGATGAAGAGCCTGCTTCCCTTCCCTTGCATTAGGAAAAGGACTAGGTACTTGGTTAAAACTCTTAGATGTCTCAATAGTCAGGGGTGATGAGGGGAGGGGGGGAATGGAGGGATGTGCATAGAGGACAAAAACTACCTTCACAGGCCAGGTAGGTGATACTGGAGTGAATAGGGTTGAGGAGCAAGGACCTTTGTAGCTCTGGTGAGAACCTTGCTCTTCTTTTCTCCCTCCTCCTTTCCCTCTAAACCTTCAAATTCAGATTATAAAAAAATGTGGTACAGGCTAAGCCAAGCACATGTGCAGGTCTACTCAGCCATGAGTTTTTAATTGAGCCTTCTGGTTCACAAGTTGCCCTAGGCAGTGGCCTTCATGTGGTTAGGTTTCCTGGATTTGGGTACTGACCTTGGAGGTAGGCCCATGACTTCTTGAATGGAGCCTTTTTCAGAATACATAGGAGGTCCTCTGAGCAATTCCCTAAAAGCAAGGAGATCAAACATGAATTGCCTTCCATGACTCTGGTATCTGTGGACATCAGAGCCTTTTCCATGACCCTTTGAGGCTGAAATTAGCATTCTGTTTTCACATGAAGGGATAAAAATTGCTTCAGTTCTCATTTCGCTGTGAAATTATCTTCAAATTTTTACTGTTCTAAAGTTTCTGTTGCATTGTTTGCCTTCCAAGTGGGCTTTTCTAAAGAAGACTATAGACATCAGGAGAAGGAAACAAGTATGCCCTGTGAAGGACTTGCCTCTCCCTTCTTGGCCCAAGTGTTTTATGTATCTAAAGATGAAATATGAAGGATTAACCCTCACCCTATTATCCCAGATGCATACAGATGTCAGGCAAAACCCTAGGCATGCTTGGATGGCTGATGTGCAGGTAGGGCAATCCACATAAGTCTGCCTGTAAATATTCCATGTGTTTTTTTTTTTTTTCACTAGCCTCTGCGTCCTTGTTTAAGACCCCGTAAGAGTCCAACTCCAACTCCACCTCCTTGTACAACCTCTATACCCAAGGGAAGGTTGTGGTCCTCACTGTTATGCCCCAATAAACAGTCTTAGCCTATTGAGAATCGGGTCCAGTCTATTCCTTTCTCCTCCATTTTCCTAACACCCTGAGTTCCTACAAATGTAGCAAGTGCCTGTCATCTTTGAAGCAACAGAGAAGGGATGGGGAGGAGGGAGGGAGAAAGAGAGGGAGAGAGAGACAGAGACAGAGAGACAGAGAGAGAGAGAGACAGACAGACGGAGAGATAGACCCTACCTATCATCAAGTCCTCTTACTCAGCCAGGCAGGAGTAGCTTCTACCGAGGAGGAGTAACTCTCCTACCTTTGGTGTGCAGACCAGACACTATTCTGGTACTTTGACCTGCATCATTTATCTGGCTGTCTTAAAATAACGTTGAAGGGTTAACCCTGATGCCTAAATCAGGGACAGCCTCCAGGTTGAACAAACTCATCAAAATGCTGGCCTTTCTGCTGTCTGTCTGATTCTAGAAACCAGGTTTCCTTCTACAGTCCATTTTGCTAGACAACAAAGATCAAAACAGCTTTCCCCCATGTTAATAGGACAGCGGATTAAAGATATCTCAGCAGGAAGCCTACCACCTGCGGCTTCTTTGGCAGAGGCAAGCACAGCATCTATGTCATTATGGTGTTTAGGAAATTAAAATATTTTAATATTTTCACCTGGGATGATAGCTTAGCTCTTTATTATAGTAACTGTTCTGTATGCAAAGAATCAACTTAAGACGTTTCCTTCAGTGAGGCAGGAGTTTAGTGTATTGAGAGCAAATGGTCCCCTGTCTGTACCACAGAGAGGTCTCTAACCTACATTGATGTTTTCTTGGTGATGGCAGCAGCGATGACCACTCAGACACAGGAAAGGGGACTAAGCTCCATGTGTCCACTGCCTCTCTGAGAAGCTTCTTGATTACCTTCTCTGCTTAAGCCTGAGAAACAGGCTTGGGAAGGGTACAAGGTGAGCTGAAGAGGCTGCTTGCTCTCTTGTCTGAGCAAACTCATTGATAAAGCATGCCCGTTGAAAGAACTGGGGGCACATTTTTCATCTTTCAAGAACTCTGGCCCAAAGCATCCTTTGGTGGTGAGGACTGGTGGGCCAGCTGTCTGTGAGCCAGTCCTACCTGCTGCAGCAGCCACTCCTCCCCATCCCCCCATCCCTGCCCACACTCTTGGGGCATCTAGAATCAGAATGTGAGTACTGCTATGCTCCTGTACACTACTATTATAGTACCTCCCCCGCCCCCCACCAGCCCTCCTGGCCTGAGCTCCTCTATGGAGTTATATTACATCAGGTCAGAGGCAGTTCTGGCTGAGTCTCAGAATTGCTTTTGGGTATTTTTGCCTGTGTGATAATGTCCAAGCTGCTTAGAATGGTATTCAGAGTCCCTTAGGTTCTGACCCCTACCAAACTCTCCAGTCTCATCCCTTCTCCCCTCCCACTCCACTTCCCTCCCCCCCTTTCCCTCCTCTCTACCTGCTAATCACCACCATCATCACTACCACCATCCCCACCACTGCTGTCATGATCTCTACCATCATCCCAGGGACTTGAGCAATAATAATAGTTAATATGTATTGGGTGGTTGCGGTGTTCTAGGTGCTCTAAGTCATGTTCCATTCCATTTTTACAATTCACATAATTTTCACAACTCTCCCTTGAGACGAACTGAAGTCTATTACATACTCCAGGACCTGTTCAGTGACTTGTTGATATTCACACAGCTAGTTGGTGGTAACGTACAGATTCTAACTGGCACCTCAGGCATTTGACCAGACCACACCACATGGAGATGGGGTGGGCTGAATCCTGAGACTCTTGTCAAAAACTAGTAATATTCTATGGGTAAACAGATGTGCAGCTCAAGTCTCCCAATCACCCTGTGAGTTTAATGATAGGACTCTGTCTTTGGACATGAAGAAAATAATGACTGACTTGGGAAAAGAGAGTGCCACTTAAAGTGGGAATCCTGCAAACTTCCTGGAGCTTAGGACTTAAGGAGCATTGAAGGTCTCTTTGTCTCTTTGCTGAATGTCTTGGAGGGCTTTTTTTTTTTTTTTGACAATCAGAATAGGAGGGAAATGAGAATTGTCTGTAGGTAGTGACTGAGTTGATAGGGAGTTGGAGTCTTGGAGTTTCCATTCTGGGCTTTAATGTTCCTATTTAGATGGAGGGCAGTGTGGATTCGTGACCTAGAAGATCCTTCCCAGAGAACTCTAGCAGGCTATGCAGATTTGGCTCTCCATTGCCAGAAGTGACTGGGATGTCAGCCCTAATCCCAGAAGCTTGTCTTTGTGGGCACATGTTCTGCACATATTCAGATTTCCAGAGGTCTTGTCTTCAGTGACAGAACCTTTTACTGCTGGGGGATATTGTACATTTCCTGAGGGAGCACCGGGTCTGAGCTTGGTGTGCACACAATGGATGTGCTCCCCATTGTTGCCCCATGGCTCTGACTCTTTAAGTTACCCAGGGAGTGAGTAACATAGTCAGAACCAGAGCCCAGAGCTCCATTCTTCTTTTGTGGGGCTTTCTATCTTCAGATAATCAGAGTACTCGCCATTTCTCTGAAGACCAAAGCTTTCAGATGCATGAATGTCTCCAAGCTCTGGCACAGAAGGCTCTAGAAGGATCTTGGACTTTTCTTTGGTTTTGTTTGGAAGGCTGGAGAGAAAAATATGCCAATCAAACCCTCCAGTTGCTCAGGGGAAACAGGATAGATTTAAGGACCATGTTGTAGAAGGCTTATGGCAACTTTTAAACTAGACCCAACTTGGAGAAACTGCAAGGGCCATGTTAACAGAAGTCCTAATTTTATATCTGGGAAGACAGAATTCAGAGAGACAGGGTCTTGTTCAAGACCCCAGAGGAGGTATCTAAGTAATAGAGCTGCACTCAAATCACAAGGCTCCTGACTCCCAGTCTGGACCTTTGCCTCTGTGCACTTATTTCTCTCATGGTACAGGTAGGGTTAAATCCAGAAAGAAGTTTTTCAATCACCACAGACACTGGAACTAAAGCTTGTGGAGACAGCTGGAGGTGATGGGAAAACAACACTAATGAGCCTGCCTGGTCTTCGTGTGGGAGAATGCCAGCAGATGAATTCAGGCTCATGTGCTAAACCTTGCCAATTCACCAGTCAGGGGCCATCAGGCTTCTGTAAAGATATAACAGTGCTCAGGGCAGCTCTACCTCAGCTAAAGCACCCAGGTGGATCATTGCAGCCAGATGGTAGTGGTCTGAGTGCCAGATGACTTGTAGCTCTATGGTACCTAAGGTATAAGGGGTGGGGGTGGGCAGATGCAGTACATCTCCAAAGAAAAGAGCATCTGGTACAAGGAGGCTTTTACCTTTGGATCTGCTGTCATACTGGTGAAGGGAAGTGACAACCAACCCAAACAAGTGAGCAAGATTGGGGATGTGAATTCACCAGCACAGTGCAAAGGCTGGAGGCTGCAGGAGATGCTGCAGATGGTGATTCCTATCTCCTTCCCACCTCCTCGCCTTGCTATTGTCACAGCATAGCAGTGCCAGGTAGCAGAGTGAAGGAATGGACTAATGAAATGGCTCCCTGAGAGGAAGTCCATGACATTATCTGAAAGACTTGAGATTCTTCATTATGTACTTAAGTTTTTCAGACCATTGGATGCTTTTAGGAATGTGCAGAAGCCACCTTTCATCTGTTGAAAATATTTTAATTCTTTGAAGAAAAGGGAGGATTAGCCTAATGACTCTGCATTTTAGTTCACTTGCTCCTTAGAATAATCAAGAGAGTCCCTACAGCGACACCTAGAGGAGTCTCTGTTCTCAGTCAGATTGGCATCAATGTGAATCGCAGACCTGACCATTTCCTTAGTGCCTCCAGGCCAACTAGTGATGGAAAAATGAACTGCAGGATGAGCCATTTATTAAACAGGGACAACTGGATGACCCTGAATTTACAGCAGCATCTGGGGAATGCCAAATCCAGCGTGCTTAGTGGTGAGCCCATGGCAAATAATCAGTCAATAGGAAAAGTTGGGATTTACGTAAATCCCCCGAAGGCTCTTTGGGTACCTTGGAAGTCTTTTCAATCTGACCTGTTTCAGTACACAATTTAAACCTATCTGACTATGGATATATCCTTGGGATTCATTTATATTAAGGGTGAGTTGAACTGCCCTATAGGAGCCACTTAGTTCATCTTTAATTTAAAAGGAAAAATGAGTCTGAAGTCCTCCTGAAATTCTTTAGCATTTTTCATAATGTTTAGAACCTTCCCGTTAGTTTATTTGAAATGCAGAAGTGGGTAACACTCTTCAGAGAGTTAGGTTTGGGGTCAGACCCTCTCAGATTCAAATCTCACCTCTGCTAGTTATGAGTTGTGTGGCTTGGAATAAGTCTTTTGATCTGTTTTGAATTATCCTTTCTTCTCCAAAATAAGAATAATGATAATATCTATCTCAGGAGCTGG